CACAGCAGTGATTACCACAGCAGTGATTACCACAGCAGTGATTACCACAGCAGTGATTACCAGCTCCGGGGGTTTGGTTTGAGAGACCGGGAGTGCAGGGCCTGTGTTGTACCTCAGGGCTCTGCAGGGCTGGGTGCTGTGGCTGGTCCTGGGGGCTGAGCTCCCTCGGGAACACCCTGGCCAGGCTGTGTGTGCAGGAGCTGGGCATCTCTGCTCCCCTGGGCCACTCTGCCAGCCAGGCTGGACACGTTTGTCCTTCCAGGGAAGAACAGGGAGGCTTGTAAATCAAACAGCTCATGGTTCCTCACGTGGAGGCCACAGAGAGCCCTTCCCCTTGTGCATGTATGAAGGGAAGCTCTGAGCCCACTCCATTAAATTTTCAGTTAATGAAATGAAACCTCCCTCTACCAAGGCAGGAAAGTAGCTTTTGGCCAGTCCAGTAGTATTGGTGAATATAATTGTTAATTCTTGAGACCTTCATATCTGAGCCCTGAGACTGCTACAGGGAGCAACTGCAGAGTATTGGTGATGCACGAGGATTCCCAGACAAAATTCATCCGGAAAACACCGTTATTAGTATACATTGGAATACAGGCCAGGCACTCCCAAACTGGGACATGCTAGGGTTAAGTTTGTTTATACAACCTTTATTTAGGAATCTTGTGCACAGAATTACAATAGCCTTCAGTGAAGTAATTCAGTGCTACTTTTCCCAGCCTCCTTGGAGTCAACTGTGTGCTAGTGGAATGTTTACCTTGTTGGGAAAGCTGGGAGATGCACAAGGAGGAAGGACACTGCAGGAAGGGGAAAGGACAATTTCATGGCTCAGAGAACTGAACTTTGTCCTGGGTAACTGAATTCTGTCCGTGTTTGTGTCACAGATCTCTGTGATACCACACAGGTCACATAACCCAAGGTTTTCCCAGGGGGTGACAATGTGCATGTGATTCGTTTTCTAAGGTTCTGTATTTGAGACACTCAGAAGTGAGGAAGGACCATAATTGTAGGCAAGTCCCGACCGTGGAGCATGGGAGCACCGGAGTTATCAGAACAGAGGTCACAGGAACTCCTTCTAAGCCAAGGGCCATCCTTGGAAATTGTTGAATCAGGTTTTTTAAGTTGTCTCAATGTTGACCGAGTATGTGTTTCATCTTGAAAAAGGTATGAAAATTATTAAAATTTGGTAGATTCACAAGAAACCCAGCACAGAGGGTTGGAGAGGAAAGCACGAGTAAATAATCCATGGTACTCTGTCACTCTTTGGACCGCCCCTGGATAGGTAGGGCAGCAGTGGGAGAGCTGGCAAAGTGAGGAGGATGGAGAAACTTCTGTCTTTCCAATTTTAAAAGGTGTGACATTGATACAGCACAGACTAAACAAGGAGGATTTAGAGTGTAACAAACTGCTCCCACCCGTGTCTGTGCTGATCATTCGTTTCGTGGGAGCTGCTCAAGGGCACTTTCTGCCAATACAGAATCCAAAAAGCCTTCAGATGCCTTGCCTGCAGCTCCAGGCCTTGTTAAGCTTTATATGCTCCCCCATCCCCCTGTTGGACCTACAGCTCCTGACGCTTTGATTCTGAAAAGTCCTTTGAAATTTGCCCCACCCCGGAGCTGGGAGGGCAGTTGTGCCAAGCCCTGGGCACACACTCAGCTCCCGGGCTGTGACTTCACCCTGGAGTCAGCCCTGAGGGCAGGGTGTGCTCCTGACCTCTCACCGCCGGCACCTGGGCACTGCCCGACACACTCGTTGTATTGTTCTTGCTCCTCCCCGGCTCCACCTCTCTAAAAAATCCTGTCCGAGTGCCGGCTCAGCTGACATCAGCAGCTGCTTCCAGAGGCACTGGGGAGGTGGGACAGCTGAGGAGACTCACCTGGGACTGTGCAGGACAGACCAGGAGGCCTCTGTAATCCTGGAATTGTCCACTGCTGTGTGCATTTCATGAGGTTTCATGGCAGCCTGCAACTCTTCTAAATTTTGCTTTGTTTCACTTGCTTTTTAGAGAAAAACTTGATAGAAAAATGACTCCCAAGTAATTATTGCAGAGTACTTGGAGACTGATCAAATGTAATGCAAGTCAGCAATTTTGTATGTATTGCAGTACAAGGGGAAACACAGACTCTTTGGTAATACTAAAATTGTCAAAATCAAATCTGAAAACCCTGGGTTGTTTTTCTATTTGACATCTCTCTGGGTTTTACATAGAAACTCAGGGGAAAAAGTACTGGTGGAAAAAGGGTGAGTGAAAACTGATAAAAGGTGGTGAGCAGAGCCAGGGGATTCCCTCTGTACAAACCAGCCTTCCTCCCATTACGTCTCTGAGAACAAGACCAGTGTTCATATGTCATGCCCTTACTTTTGTGGTGCCCCTGAAAATAAGCAATTTATTTCTAAAACACTAGAAAAGAGGATACTGAGATAAAAACTGTCTCTAGCTGGTCACTGGCTTCCCCATCTAGAGTAAGTTTAAAAAAACTAAAATCACATCCAGTTAAAGAAGTAACTTCAAAATGTTCTAAAACACAATCCAGCTTATTTTTGTTATTATCTCCTAGAAAGCTACTGGATTAACCAGGTCAACATTTTGCACTTGCATTTGGGAGTGTGAGTGGCTGAGAGCAGTAATTCTATATGTGAATAGTGAGGAGGCAGAGCCCCAGTACGTGCTGGGACAGTGGCCCTGCAGGAGGACACTCGGAGAGTGCCAGGGCCCCTTCACCCTGTTCCTGCCCTGGAGAACGGGATGCGTGAATTCCAGCAGCTCAGATTTCAAGTTAACTCCATATTTATACTCCTGGTGCTCATCTGTTCCACCAAGAAAAGATCAGCTGAAAAATGTGATCCCTGTTAATAGGAGCTAAAAGGCTCATTCAGCTCGTCAAGTAAAGCAGGCAGAAAGCTGCTGGCAGGAGCAACAGCTGTGTGGCTGACCTTTCCCCACTGCCCCCTTCCCTCTGCGCTCAGGACCGGGCTCAGGCATTCCTGGGAGCCATGCATTTGGAAAGAGAGGGTTATTTTTGTTCACCGTGTGGTTTCTCAGCACAGAGGGTCTTTAGGAATATTTCCTTTCACGTCAATCCCTTTAAGCATTTTACAGAGCATAGTCTGTTCTGGGAAGTCAGTAAATTTGAATTCATGTTTTGAAGTTTTATCATGACTCGAATATAACATGCAGAAGGAGCCAGCAGGGTGATGAATAAAGCAAATGCAGGCTGGGTGTCCTGCTAAAGCCATTACCAGAGTATTTTACATTTTCCATGCACCCAAATTAAACCCTTTATACAAGCAAAGAAACCCAAAACCATCTGGCACTAGACTTTGGGATTTCATAATGCTTTTTAATGCAAACCATGTGAGCAGGATGTGCAAAATGTCTGTGTCAGTGGGTTGAATTAATACATGTAAAGACCATGAACTTTGCAATAGTTTTGTCCAGTTTTCCTATGTCCAGTCAATGAATTCCTTGTCCCACTGCTGTTCAGCAGGGATAAGTTCTGCACTGTCACCTGTCCTTGCCTGACACTGGTCACTTCACCGTTCCTGAACACAGAGGGAAAACCAGGATCAGAGAGGACCCGAACTATGGAGCCAGATGTGCAACTTCAGCATGAAGCTAAACAGCCACATGAGTTTTTTCCATCTTGTTACTGAATGACATTAAGAATTTTGTTATTATGGGTCATCAAAGACCTATTTGGCCTTCAGTATGGAAGAGATGCTTCATCCTTTGCCTAGCTGTTCTCCTGAAGTGTTTTCCCACCCTACAGTGCAGTGTTATAAGCAATAGGAATAACTGTGACAAAGGGAACTCAGGATCACTTGGGATTCAGGGTCCCCCTCTCCTCCTCTCAGAGCTGAACCCTGCAATGAGTCACCTCGGGGTGATGAGACAAGCCCTGGGCCTCTGTAATGGAGCCCAGTGTTTCCAGAAGCAGCAGCTTGCCCCCAGACTGACTGTTTACATGTCTAACAAGCAGAAACTCTGTCTTTCCTGACTGTGCCACTCCAAAATGTGCTACAAGGGGGTTTGCCACACACACTTTACCTTTCCAGACTCCCTGAGCTCCCAGCTGGTTATGTGGGGTTCTTTATTCTTCTCTACAGGTTTTCTTTGAGGGCATTGCCAGAAATGCCCTGCACTCCTCACACTCCTCTCAGGGCCCCGAGGACACCCCCAGGCCGTGCTGGCCCTGACCAGCCTCTCCTCTTCCTCCCCCACAGTCCCTGCACGTGGCTCCAGGACTGCACTGGTCCAGCCCAGCTCCTCCCGTGCTGGCCCAGGCCCTGCTGCAGCAGTGCTGTACCTGCCTGTGGAGCACATGGATCCCGACCTCTGGATTCACCTCCCAGCTCGGCCTGGGATCTGTCTGTTAACATGGACCTGCCCAGCACTCACTGTGCTCTCAGGAGACCTGGTCCTGGCCCTGACGAGAGGATTCACCCATCTGGCCCTCCCCAGTGCTTCACTGGGAGTTTGTGGGATGCTCTGGACTCGTGGTTGAACCCAGGTACCATCCTTGGGTCTGGCCTGGGTTGGTCAGCAGGGGCTGGACCTGGCTGTGTCACTGGGCTTGGCTTCTGCCTCCCTGTCCCTGACAATGGGCTCAGCCTTGTTAGACTGAACTTGTAGACAGACCTCCCCAAAGGTCAGAAAATCCCAACTTTGGTGACAATAGAACTGAAAACAGACTTGGACAAAATCTTCAGTAATAATGATTTCAGAACTCTGATTATTCCAGCAACTCTGATGCAAACCAGGAGCCCTTTATCCTGCAGTGATTATTTTGTTAGTCCCATCCTCTCCTTGAGAGCTGCTTCCTGTGCCACCACCTTTGTCTTTTCCCCAAATACCTTTATAGGGATGACCTGAGATGCAAAGCCCATCCAGACTCAGGGGCACAGCAGCCCTCTTCTCCACTGCACAGGTGTTATGTGCTGCTTTTCCTCTTCCCTTCCTGTGTCCTGAATGTCTCTGCCTCTGGAGAAACTCGGTTCCATTCCTCAGTCATTCCTCAGTCTCTGAGAGCACCGTGCTCTCATGGAAGAGGGGATCCTAAAAAGATAGGATTGAGGCATCTCTGCTAAGAAGGAACTGAGAGATGCCAGATTCCAGCTTGCACTTGGAAAGGCACACAATATGGAATGGGCAAATCATGGAATCACAGACTGCTCTGGGTTGGATGGGACCTTAAAGCTCACCCAGTGCCACCCCCTGCCATGGGCAGGGACACCTTCCACTGTCCCAGGTTGCTCCAAGCCCCGTCCAACCTGGCCTTGGACACTTCCAGGGATCCAGGGGCAGCCACAGCTTCTCTGGGCAGCCTGTGCCAGGGCCTCCCCACCCTCACAGGGAGGAATTTCTTCCTAATATCCAAGCTAACCCTACTCTGTCAGTGTGAAGCCATTCCCCTTGTCCTGTCACCCCAGGCCCTTGTAAATAGTCTCTTCCATCTTTCCTGTAGTTTCCCTTCAGGTGCTGGAAGGCCCCAATTTGGTCACCCCAAAGTCTTCTCTTTTCCTGGCTGAACAATCCCAGTTCTCTCAGCCTTTCCTTGTAACAGAGGGGCTCCATCCCTCTGATCATCTCACTGTCCTTGACTGTAAGACACAGCTTTACCCTGGCAGGGTGGAGCATGAGAGAAGAGGACTCATCTGGCACCAAATCTTTTTAGGCAACATTTCGAAGGAGAAAACCTTCTAATAGTGTCAGTAAAGTAATCCCAGCAATTACATTAATCTGGGAATGCTGGACTTAGGCCCTCATGGCAGCTCCAAGCCTCCCCTGAGCATGTTGGCAATCACCTGAGGGTTGCTCAGGTGATGCATGGGGCAAGCAGCAGATAAAGGCAGGGATGGATGTTGTGGAGCTGTGCTTCCCCCGCAGCCTTAGGCAGCTGTTTCCCATCTGTGAGAGGCACAGCTCCCCTGCAGGCCCTGCGTGGTGTTTCCATCCTCAGTATCCAAAGGGGCAGGGCTGGGAAGGCCACATGGATGGCTGGGAAGGCCACATGGATCACTGAGATCCTGTGCCTCAGCACTGCCGTGGGGCAAAGGCCTGGATGCTCAGTGTCTCCTTGGCATCCAGCTGTCCAGGAGTTTCTCTGCCACCAGAGGATGCGAAGGGACACTCAGTTTGGAAATGTGGTTTCTGGACTGTCTCAAATCTGCAAATCTCATTCCTCTGGACCTTCTCTCCTTGTCCCCACCTCGACCAAGCCCCCCCCAGTTCCTGATCACCCATCCTTGCCAGCTTTCCTTTCCTGGTACCCTCCCAGAGCACAGGCTGTACCAGCAGTGGTAGTATACCCACAGTAATATATGGTGTTAGGAGACTGCACTTCCCAGCACTGGAAGGGTGTGGGGTTGCTGGAGCAGGTCCAGAGGAGGCCACGGAGATACCCCCTGAGCTGGAGCCCCTCTGCTCTGGAGCCAGGCTGGGAGAGCTGGGGGGGTTCCCCTGGAGAAGAGAAGGCTCCAGGGAGACCTGAGAGCCCCTCTCAGGGCCTAAAGGGGCTCCAGGAGAGCTGGAGAGGGACTGGGGACAAGGGATGGAGGGACAGGACACAGGGAATGGCTTCCCACTGCCAGAGGGCAGGGACAGATGGGATATTGGGAAGGAATTCTTCCCTGTGAGGGTGGGGAGGCCCTGGCACAGGTTGCCCAGAGCAGCTGTGGCTGCCCCTGGATCCCTGGAAGTGTCCAAGGCCAGGTTGGACGGGGCTTGGAGCAACCTGGGACAGTGGAAGGTGTCCCTGCCCAGGGCAAGGGATGGAATGGGATGGGATTTAAGGTCCCTTCCAACCCAAACCAGTCTGTGACTCTGTGATTCTATACTAGTAGTCTAGTACATTATTAATAATATATTATTAATAAAGTGATTTTACCAGCAATGTTTACTGATGATTTAGTAGTAACTTTATTCCAAAATGATTATAAATTCTATTTCTCAAAGTACCAACTTTAGTATTTTGCAATTCTCTTTTTCTAAAGCTGTGTTCATTTACCTTTCAATACCGAAATAAGGGCCGGTTTAGTGTCCCTGCTGCCAGGCCGTGGCTCAGGGCAGCCCAATTAATCCATTTTAGGGCTTCCACGTGCGCTCCCGACACTGCGAATCTCCGCGTCCGCCACGAGAGGGAGGACGTGCCATGCGGGACGCGGGGATCGCGCCAGGGAAGGTTCCAGTTTACAGGGAAGTTGCACTAGTTTATGCTGAGATTCTATTTTAAATCAATTCAGCCAAAATCGGTGCAAGATGTTGGCTGACATTTGTAGTCAAGTGTAAGAATAGCTTATTTTGGGTTGCCATAAACAGATTCCAAGTTGACATAAACTAAACTAAGAGTCTTTACAGAAGTGTTTATACCAGTTTAACTGAGTTGGTTGAAACCTCCGTGGAAGATTAACCAAGTGGGACCTTTGTGTTTGGATAAACACTGAGCTTGAAATGCACTAATTTAGCTTAGAATAGGAATGAAAACCTCTGGTTTATCTTTAAAAGTAAACTGTGCACTATATTCATCATCAGCTTCACAGAAAGTCCCTCTTAAAGAAGAGACTCCTCATCTGTATTTGATTGTTTCTATTTGAATATTTTGCATTTATTTTTGGTGCTGATTCTGCTTCATCCAGACAATCTCTTACCACTGGGGAATTCTGGGAATGCAGGGACACATCTGAAGACAAGGGACAAAAGATATTCTAGCACTTGGCTGCTTGAGAACTTTGCATTTAAAGCCCAATTTGTAGCAATTTCTGGTGGCTCTCTATAAAAATTGTCCTCAGGATTTGTTTCAATGAGGTGCTGAGGTGTTGCTGTTTGTTTGCTCAGAGACAGGGGGAAATCACTTTTTGGAGTGGCTCAGTTTTGAAAGGTCTGGATCTGTACCACGTCTTCTGAGCATTGTTTCCATCCCTTGCTCCTCTCAGTTAAGATCACCGTGTTCCTCCCTTTCCCACACTTCCTCCTAGGCTTTGTAATCTACATTGCCCCAAGGAAATGCAGCTGTCACGATGGTTCAGAGATCAAAATTCAGCCTTTAATGTAGCTAAGGCTTGATCCATTAACTACTTTGAAGATTATGACCAAAGCCTCAAACTGGCATCTGAAATATGAAACTTCAGCAGGAGTTAATGAGGCCCAGGAAAGCTGCTCGGGAGGCAGCTCTTGTGTCCCACACGGTGCCAGAGAGACAAAAGAGCCAGCACTGCAGCAGGAGTGAGGAGAGGGGCAAAGCAGAGCCTGAGACACTCCAAAGCAAGGTTAAAAATTAGTAATTTTAATTAGTAAGAAGGGGAGTTTTGGCTACAATGTTAGACAGACACGGAAGGTAGCAAAGTCTGAAGACAAGAGTGACTGCCCGAGCTCAGATTCACAAGAAGTCAGGCAGCAGCATTCCTTGTGTTCAGGAGTTACTCTGAGCAATGAAAAATACAGAGGGAGGTTGCCCTGGAAGCAAAAGGATGGACAGTGTCATTCCCAGGCTGCACAGGAGCCACGTGGCAAAGGGAGGCTCTAATGATGTGAGTGATGATAATTCAGTTTATACCCTATGGGTCATGTCAGCCGAGAGTAAATGGAGGAAAATAACCCAGACTGTGGCAACCTTGTGTTCACATCTGCAAGTTTCTTTCGACGGAAAAAAAAAGAACTTCAGTACTTAAAACTACTGTTAAAAATAAGTTGTACCTACATGTTGACCAGCACAGCACTAAAGAGCCAAAGGTGCACCTACTGTTTTGCTGAGCTGCAGGAGAAAATGAGCAAGGAGGAGCCATCCACAGGATCAGTTAAACAGGAGTCACTTCACATCAGCATAAAGAGAGTTGCTAAGATTAAGGATTGACCAGAAATAGTCCAGTAAGTTTCCACTGAATCAACATTTTCTGATGGAAAACTGTCCTGGCTGGAAAAATTTCAGCAAGCTTGACTCGTTACATTTAAAGTACCAGCTATCACTTCTCCATTCTAGAAATACCAAATGCTCAGGATTGCCAGCTTTTCAAGTTTATTATCATTCTAAATGTAATTATGTTGTGACTCATTGGAACAGACCAAATGGCAGCAAATGTAAAGAGACAAAACTTGGAGATTTAGGTATTAGAATTGTCCCATTCAGCCTATACTTCATGGAGACTCCCATTGCAAAAATACCTCAAAATTTGGTTTTCAAACACTTACCACTACTTGTACAATTCACAGTAAAGTCACCACATCTTGGTTGTACTCTCACCCTCTGAGTGAACATACTTCCATCTGAATGTTAAAGAAGACAGCCTGAAAAGAAAGACAATTAGTCACATTTTGTATTTTAAACTGGGTGATATTCATGAATAAACAAGTTTTTACCAGCTGACACAGTGAAAATGGTGATGGCCTTGTTCATACAACTACTCCTAAATTATCCTTCAGCCTTCCCCACCAAGTCAGGCAGGATTCAAAAAACAATGAATTTGAGGTGGAAGGTCATCACTCCATTGATAACGAGAATTTCTTTGTGATAGGAGGAGCACTGGACCTGAGGTCCAAGGAATTTCTTTCTAGTTCTGTGCCCTAATCTGGACAACACTATAGATTCACTCAATCTCTGAGTTATAATGAACTAATCCCAGCAGAGTTAGTTCTCAGCAGGTTGTCAGTGCCAGAACAATTACATCATACCCAGGCACTCTGTAACCTTCTGTGAGGGGACAGCTCACAGATGACTTCCAAGAAATGAAGCTCTAATTTAGAATTAGATATTAACTGCTTGCTCTGGTACTTTTGTTTTGAGCAGGTATCCATTTGGCCTCGTTGTTTGGCAGCTCTGCCAGGCTTCACTCCCTGCAGCTGGGAGCAAAATGTGAAATGCAGCTTGATTTTTTATAGTGACTTTTGGGATTTTTTGCTGCTTTCCTCTGGCCGAGGTTTAGGTGAAAGGTATAAACCTCTGTGCTTGTTCCCCAGGCCTCATCCCACAGTTCATTACAAACACACATCCTTTGGGCCATGGACTCCACAGCTCAATAAGCACGACTGTGACAATGTCCTCGATGCACAGCATCAGAACAGCACAGCTGGTTGTGCCATGGCAATGGCTCAGCCAGGGCACAGTCACACAGGAACACCCCAGACTGTGTCCTGCTCCATCCCCACGTGCAGCTGTGCTCACTAATGAACTGCAGCACTTCCCATCCCCGCCAGCCAGAGACAGTTTGTGGTTTATGGATTGCAAGCACTTGGCTGCAGGAACTTCCACATGTTCTTTATATCCCTGTAGTTGGAATTTTTTAGTCTAGAGCCATGACGTGCCAGCTCCAGCACGGCCTCAGCACCAGTGAACTCACCATAGAGACGAGGAGGAGTTAATGTTGTTAAAACGTTCTGAAAACATTTGTGATCCAGGATTTGAATATAGTGATCTGAAAGAGTGGCTATGGATATCCAGCCCCTTAACCCCTCCATCCCGCTTCCCACAGCCAGCATTAACCTCACACACAGCCAGCAGAGGAATTTGCTGCTGCCTGTGTGCAGCTGCAGAGCTGCTCAGATGCCCCCATGCTCCTGGATCTCCAGATGTTTGTTTCCAGCTACCTGCAGATATTTTGCAGGAGAATTGGCTGCAGGGCACGAGGGAAATTATTGTTAACTCTTTCCAGGCCAGTCTGTAATCTGACAGTGAGCCAGAAATCCTGGATTAATACCAAGACATCAGGGATTTGTTTAGGAGCTCTCACAACCAAACCCACATTGTTGTCCTATGGCATCAAACAAGGCTCTTGGCCTTTGGAGGGTTCAGTGTTCACATGGCAAGTTGGCCCTTGCTTTGAGTCATGAGGAGGGAGGGCAGGATTTACCCTCACTGGTCCCCTGGTTGAGCTCCAGTCTGAAAGTTTGCCACTGGAAAAGATGCTGGTCCATGCAGGATGCGTGTTTTGAGGGAGATAGTGATTCCAAATGACACAGTTATCCTCAGGGTACAGGTAGTGCCCATCAGTTTGACCCTGAGCCTCTGTGGATCCCAGCTCTGGGTCCATTCCTGGAGGGATCCAGGGCTAGCCAAATGCCCTCCCCAGCCTGGATGTGCAGGGCAGCTTTCCCCAGCCAAGCTGTGGACACTTGAACTAACATTTACAGATTGTTATTGATGTGCATAGGAAAGGAAATATGGCAACAATGAGAACATGATGCAAGATCCCAGACTGACTTGTTCTGTCTTCGACAGAAATTAAAGCCTGGTTCACTTCTCAAGGGAGAAAAATCTTTGAGTCTGTTCACCAGGGAGTGAGAGAAACATCTATAAAAATAATCTTGGGAGAAATTTGAGTGTACTGGGTGGTACTGACATATTAGCACAGCATCCTATTTCTTCTATTGGACAAGAAAACAGAAACATTTGTATTTTAACTTTATTACAGCTTTGCAGTTAGCAGAAGGCAACGTGTTCTTAGCTGTACAGCCTCATAAAAGCCATCTGCAGTTACACAGATGTGTGTTTTGCTAAAAAAATCTCAAGTTTATCCATATTGGATCCTTGTGATTGGAAGGTCTTTTTCAGTTACTATTTCTGACCTCTAGTGATGATTCTGGGTGTTAGAAGTACCCATTTGCTGCCAAGCCCTGCACCATAGACAGGCTTCAAAGCTGTATTAGACAACAAAGGAAAACACAAAGCTGTCCCCCCATTCTGTATAAGTTCAAGTGGAGCAGTGTCCCCAAATGCATCATTTATCTGTTAAAGACATTTGATGGGTTTATTGTGGCTGACAGGCAAACCATGAAGCTGAAGAGAGTGTTGGTCATTGAGGACATGCCCCACAACCTATTCAGAGAGGCTCCTTCTGTTCCCTTGGGACACTCCAGGAGTCACATCTGGCTGTGCATTCTCATGGAAGCTCTTTCAAGAGCAATACAAAGTTCTTAGTCCACTGAAATTCTAGGGCTAAACTAGTGCAGCTTTACAAGTCAGAGGGTTTAATTTCTCCCTGCTGTGCAGCACTGCCCTGCTCCCAGGGACTGTTTGTGGTGTTCTGCACAACCACTGGCAATAGGGGGGACAGCAGGTGACTTGGAGAATAGAGACCACAACTTCAGGGAGTTGTTACTGATTTTTCTGGCTCTCTGTGCATTCAGACAGACTGAGGGAAGGGCACAAATCCCATTAGACCAGCCAATCAATAAAAAATGGACTCAGACCAAGACACCAGTTTCACAAGGTGAGCCCTGAGCAACAGAACCCCTCTCTGATCCTCAGTGCTGATCCTGAGTGCAGAGCTGTGCCCTGTGCTGCTCCACATTCTCCACAGGGAGATGCAGAGAAACTCCAACCCGTTGTGCCAGGCTGCTTCCAGCTGCTGGAGATGCTGCCTTTATGGACCAAAAGCATCCAAGTTCCCTGCCCAGCTGGTGCAGTCAGGCTCAAGTCTACGTTGCACAGCTCTGGGCTCTGTGTGGTTGTCCTGAGACTTCAGTGATTGTTGGTTCATTTTTTCCCTCAGCTGGAAATATATGAAATAATAGTTGGCTGTGTTGCAATCTCCCACAGTAGTGTCTTTATAGGATGACACCAAAGGTACAGATCTCCTTTAGGCATCTGAAGATGTAAGAATTACTAGGGCAGTATTGGAAAAAACTTGGTACAATTTCATATCCTTCTCTGAAGGTTGAAAATGTCTCTTGGTTTCTTTTCAATGCTGGAAGGAACCCAGAAGTAAATTAACCTGACTGGGGCTCTGGGATGAAAGAGTGGTTGAGCCACATCGAATTTGTACATTCACGTCACTGAATCACAGTGGATTTAATGATGATCTGTCTCAAACATTTCCCTTGAAGCTTTCTTCTGCATAGGAACCCCTGTCTCCTGGGGAAGAGCTCTCAGGCACTAATAATAGAATGCAGGGGCTGGAAAGTTTCTCGGTTTCAGCCCTTGGCTCTCTGTGTCCTGGGACACTTCTCTGCCAGGTACAGAACTCCCCCTGGCAAGGGGAGAAAAGGGGCTCAAAATGTGTTAATAACGTAAAACTGTTGGAATACCTAAGTTTTGATTTGGTGAAGAACTGCACAGAACAAATAGCTCCAATAAATACAATACTTTATATTTTATCCATTGGCTGAAGCGTTATACACAACCTCAGCAAACTCAGGCAGTAGCCTCTGAAAATGCAGGGTTGGTACTCAATTTAAACCCTTGTTTCTATTGTTTCTAGCTTCAATAAATACATTCCTCTTGGGTCAAAGCTTTCCATGCTTAGTTCTAGATCAAAGACCAACTTTCATGTTTGAAAGACCAAGTGAAATGAGTTTTCAACTGTGAATTATTCAAAAGTGGGAGTAGAAAGGAAAGAGACTTTAATGTTGTGATAAAAAATTTTGCCCTCTGGTTACCAAAAATTCCTAATCAACTCCAGCCATCTTTCCAAAGTCTGGACTGAGGGGAACCAGCTCTCCAGTGACTCTCAATTGGCCCAGACTGGCTGAAGTTGCTTTGGGAGACTTTCTCTCCAGACATGGATCAGCTCTAATGGGGTCGGTGCAAACGTGGCACAAAGAGCTGGGGATTGGATTTCCCGTGGTCAGCACCCCTGCACTGAGCTCATCTGCACGGAAGAGAATCTGGATGTATAAACCAAATAGCTCCTTCCTCCAGATGGTGCAAAAGCTCTCCTATCTGAGTGTCTCTACAGGAGGGGCATGGGAGAAACAGGAATGACCCCAAACCAAACCTCCGAGAATTCAAAAAGGAGTGGATTTGTAAAACTCACGGTGCTCTCACTCACTCTACCGTGGCTCTGACTATGCACTTCCCCCTGCAAGGTAAACCTCAGCTGGTGCTGTTGTTTGCTCTTTGCACACACCATAAAGTATCCAGGATATGAAGCCTGGAGATCCAGAGATGCAGGAACACCTCTCTGTTAAAGAGTTTTCTGATTTCAGACTGCACTAAAGCTGGAATTTCACTCTGGTTTGGTAGCTGCTCTCAGTACTTCCCAGTGCCTCTTTCACCAGTGAATGACCCTCTGTCTCTTCTGGATACTTGGCTGGAGACACAGAACTCCCCCAAATTGCCAGAGATGCTGGGCCTGAGTCAGCAGATGCCTTTGGCCGCGTCAGACTGGCTGAAAAGCAGAAAAATATGCAAAGCGGATCAGCACGTTGCCGTATCTGCAAGAGCCCGGTTACCTTTATATTAAAAGCCTTAGGGGTAGGTGTCATTTGGAATTTAGACCCAGTCTGGAATAGCCCGGGCCGTTTAGGCACTGGAATGAGTCACGGCAATGCCTTCGGGGCAGCCCTGCCGG